AGGTTTCTTCCTGTTAAAAGGGAGTTTTTCCTTCCCACTGTCGCCAAAGTGCTGCTCATAGGGGGTCATATGATTGTTGTTTTTTTCTCTGTATGTATTATTGTAGGGTCGACCTCACAATATAAAGCACCTTGAGGCGACTGTTGTTGTGATTTCACGCTGTATAAATAAAATTGAATTGAATTTAATCTTTTATTTGTTTGCTCCTGTTGGATGCGGAGTGAGCGCGGTCAAGACATCTTTTCGATTTTAACAGAAAATGCTCTTTTAGAAATCAGTCTAAAGGCTGTTAGAGGCAACTGAGATTTGAAAAACACTTAAATTCTTTTAAAGTCCTTTTAAACATCAGACTTGAAAAGTATGTAAAATATATATTTTTAAAAGTTACTTAACACATATTTAAGCATTTACTTGTCCGACCCAAACAGTTTTCTCTGCAGGGCATCACAAACAGGTTTGAGATCCACACTCGACACGAAGGCTGGAGTTCTCTGCACCACATAAAGCTGCCATGATGCTGTTCACTCAGAAGCAAGGCAGAGATAGACGCCAACAGGTAATGAGGGAGAAAACACACTGAAAACAGCTGATCGCAAAACAACCCAAAAGATCACACTGTCACGTTCTGAAAGCTGCTCTTACAAAAGCATAAAGATTTTCTTTGACTGCTGTGTGGCGACAGCTAAGATAACAGCCTTATCTGAGCTAACGTGTAAAAATATTTTAAATTACCAGCAAGAACCCATCTTACTGGCAGTTCTTTGTTTCGCATGTTTGTGCTGTTATCGGGTAAACATGCACATATTCACATACGTATGCTACCATCAGTATTATAATTAGCAGTTCCTGCATATTTCCTGAAATGTTGCTGAAGTTCATGGTTTTCTGTCTTCCAGCTGCTTCCCAGTCGGCTCTGTGACCTCAGCTCCTTGTTGCTCCTCCCACTGTGGAAAACTCAAAGAACTTTCTCCGTCCTCGTCATTTGTACCATTGTGTCATTTTACAACAAAACAGCTTCTAATGTCTACATGAAACGTTTAAACCCCCAAAAGACTGTCTCTGTACAGTCCATGCATACATCTCAGGCTTGCGTGCAGAACCGTCCCATAATGCATTGCGTTAATGACGTCACAATTAGCGGTTCTATTCAAACTTCACTGATTCTTTGCTTTAAGACTATTACAGGAAATCTACTGTCACACAGTTAAGACCAAACTTTATTCTGAGCTTTGCTCCTCGGATCAAACGAACCTAATTTCTGAAGAAGTCCACAGCAGAACTCTCTGAATGCAATAAGTGAGTTTATTTGCAGGTTATACGATGCAGCCATAGGTACAAACCAGTAAGCATGTTTGTACAATAAGCAAGCAGAGTGCAGACACAGGAAGGCTTGAATAAGGCAGCATTATCTTGATGATTTGGTGGGTTAGACTTTTGTGTCCAATTGTTGATGATATTTTAGTAAAATG